TGAAAAGTTGGGTTACTTCAAAAAAAAAAAAAGGCAAATTGTTTACAAAAAAAAAAAAAAAAAAAGGCAACGGTAATTTGTTTTCTTGAAAAAAAAAAATGGTAATGAAAATTGGTAGGTATCAGTATGGCGTAGCGTTACTTTCTTCTCTTCCCCCCCACCCCCTCCCATTGTTTCCTTTTCTCTTTCTGCTTTTGAAAATTGTAATTTTCACTCTTTTTTCCCCCGATTTGTTTCTAAGTTGTCCTTTGTGACATTATTTACTTCCTCTTTTATTCCTTTCTGTCGGTGTCTCCGCCTTGTTATGTTGATTAAATAATTACGTTTTTGGCAAGAATTTACAAAGAACGACCTAAATCATAACAACGACAACTATAATATATATTTATTATATATATAATTAAATAAGAGCAAAGAAAGTGTAGTTCAATTGATTAGAGATTCAGAAACATTCAATAATAAAACGTTACGAACAAAGGCTGGTACGTTTACTGTTACTTAATTTACTCTGAAAAGAAGTGCGGAGCATTTATAACCCAGGTTTCCCTTTTCTTTTTCTTTTTTTTTTTTGGGTAATAGAAGAAAGACGTTAGTTTCCTTTTCTCTAAAATGTAATTGGTATTTTATGGAAATATAACTTTGTACAGACGAGTATTTAAGCAGAGAGGGCATAAGTCTCTCACCACACTCGTCATTTTCTTTCGAAATTTTTGTTCTCTTATTTTTCCTTCTCTCAATAATATTCTCCACATTTTTTGTCATCCCTATGTCCAAGATTCCTTCTCTGCTCACAAAAATTCCTTCCCTCTCTTGCTCCTTCGAAGTTGAGGTCCGCACTCCTCCATAGAGTCATTTAGGACGCAGTGAATTCTCGTGAACTTTTTTTTTAGTGTAAAGCAATTGCAAGATTTTCAAGAATCATAATAAAAGTTCAGAAACGTGAGGTATAACTCCAAATTTTTATGATAATCTTTGATGATTTTGTGATAATTCATTTGCCTTTCTTGATGTAGTTGTTTTTCTTGAACTATATAGTTTTGATGATCTTCTTGAACTACATAGTTGTGTGAGAAAACATTTTTTTTTTTATTTTTGCATATTTCTCAACAGTATTTAAACGTGTTACATATTTGTCAACAGTATTTTTTATGAGTTTTTTGGCAACATTTTTTTTTTATGAGTTATCTGTGTCAACAGTATGTACTACTAATCTACTTGTGGTAAAAGAATCTGTGACTGCTCTATTTCTATTTTAAAATTATGATTAGAATTATTCTCATTTAAATTTTCGTACGTTAATGAATTGATTATAAAAAAATATTTGTAAGTTGATTACTTTACACTATATTTGGTAGGAAGAAAAGAAAATATGATAGAAAGAAAATATAAAAGTGATGAAAAATAATAATGATGAAAAAGAAATTGATTTTCTTTTATGTTATTTGGTATGAGAAGATGGAAAGAAAATGAGTTTACCTTCACTTGTTTAGTATTAGAAGTCAAATTGGGAGGAAAGAAAAAATCATACTCGTAAATTACTTTTATACTCTTAAATTTTTTGCTTAGATATTGATGGAAAAAAGGGTAATTTAATAACTTTACTCACTTTAATGAGTTATCTCTATTTTTCATCCTATTTTCTGCCCACTCACAGAAAGAAAAAAAATAATATGACCCATATGTATTATTTTTTACCCTATTTTCTCTTTTTTTTCTTCCTATCAAACAACTTACATTTTTATTTTTCCTCCCAAAAACAATCCACCGTTTTTCTTCCTTCTATTTTTTTATCCTACCGAACATACTCTTAATTTTGACTTTTGACCGGCTGCTGCTTGAATTATTGGAAGTGATAATAAAAGTGGGTGATGGTGACTTATATGACCATGCATGTTAGGCACAGGTGTCAAATCCCATCTTTAAAAAATAATAAATAATATGCTGGTCATACGTGTGGCAAAAAAGTTATCGTCGATCGTATTAGGTCCGTTTAATTTGTTAATTTAAATTTTTAATATGAGTTAAAATATAATTTTATATAAATTTTTTTTATTATAATAAAAAAATTAAATATAATTATTTTTTAAAATTTTTTATTATAATAAAATGTAAATCAGTGAAATAAACAGAGTTTTAAATTCTTTAATTTTTTTTATGTATTCTCTAATTCCAGTGTGCCATTTGGCGAAACCTTACGAGTAGGACCTGATTGCAATATTGCATATTTCTTTTTTTTCAACAATTTTGTCGCTCTTAAAAGTAAAAATATTTATGTTTTTGAAAATTCTCATGTGCTTCTGAAAAACATTTTCTGTGTGTCTTATTTCTTTTTTCCACGTTTGGTTGGGTGATGAAAAATGAGGAAGCAAAATAATGTATTTAAATTCCTTTTGTTGCTTCATTTTTTAAAAAAAAAATCCTTTTGATGCGGCAATTTTTTTTTTTCAACCGAGTGGATTTTTTGTAAAAAAATTTAAGATGGACACGTTGACTCTCAATTTATGAGTGCTTGTACAGTTTTATCATATTAATTATCACTTGTCCAAGATCTATTTAGTGATATGCTTTTTTTTTTTTCTTTTTTCTTTTTTTGCGGGAACAGTACTACTGGCTGCTAAGATTACACTTTACAGATTTAGCTTTTAATAAGTTAGATAATGTTTAATCATTATTGCATTAAATGTTCTTTAGTGTTCTTCCTAGCTATATCTATCATTAGCAAAGATTTATAATTCTTCACCCTTATTTTTGTGGCGTGCTGAAATAGATTTTGTTTCTGTAATATCCCTTGTTATGTGTGTGTGCGCATATTTATTATTTATTTATATATTTCAGCCGCTTTGTCATAATTTTTATTTGCAACTTCTTTACGTATTTTTAGTTTTTCTTTTTTGCGAGATGCAATGTTAATGTTACTATGAGAATTTTGTCTTAGCCTATTGGTGTAGAAAACTGACGTATCAACACATTCAAATGTCCGTTTTCTTTTCTATAGGCAAACATATTCCTTTTAGGAACATAATACTGATTCGTGCAAATTGGGGCCTTCCTCATTATTACTATTATTATTTTTGGCTCTCTCTTTTAGAGAACAAAACCTTGCCAATGGTCTGCATTTTTTCTATCCTCCAAATTGACTGATAAAATATACCAAAAAAGGGATCTTCTCTTTTCGTTGATTCTATCTAAAAGATTCAAAGATTGTACTTCATTCATCTAAATTAATTTCTTAATTATTTTAGATACAGGTATTGTTTGGATTTGTCACTAGTACTCTCTTTTCTATTATTATTATTATTACTATTACTATTACTATTACTATCACTAAAAGAAGTTAATAATCTTTTTGGTTCATAATTAAAATTATAATTTATGATTATAAATTTTAAAATTTAAATTTTTTATAAAAAAAAATACTATAATAAATAGAATAAAAAATTATGATTTGAACCATAATAAATCTTTAACAAACAGATCCGCAAATATGGCAGCCATAGGATGTGGTTTATGTTGAAAAGGACCAAGATAAAAGGTCTGCCTGGACAATGAACATCTCGATAGTAGAGTACCAACTTGTACAGGGGCGGGCAGTCAACCCGAGTGGCGAGTGAGTGGCATTACAGAAAGGCAGGCTTTCCAATTTTCACGAGCCGCAAAAATAATAATAATAATAATGAGCAGCAGAAACCATCTTTTTATAAAGATAGTACCCAAAACAGAGGAGTTTCCCCTTGGCGCTTGGAACCGCGTTCTAGGATCTTAAAATCTTTTCTCACCTAACTTAACTTTATTATCCTAGCCTATTACAGAAGATTTTTTATGTTTTGCTCTGGCATGCTTTACAGCTTGAGAGTGATTTGGGCAGTATTTATTCTGTATCTTCTTTTCGCTAAAATAATTTCCTTTCTATTTTCGACACAATATTCGGTATTACCTGCATGGCTGTGAGGTTGTCTGTACCCTATAAAGCTTACACGAGGATTCTGTTGCTCGCTTTCTTTTTCTCTCACTTAGTTAATTCTCTGCCATTCAGATTCTGGAGATTTCCCTCTCTCTCTTTCTTTTCCCTCTATCTCTCCTTTTGTCTCCTTCCAACCCAGTGGCTGGGTTATAGTTGAATCTCATCTCCAAAAACTTTACATATTGGTGAGACCCTCATCTTAAATTTAGCTCTGGCTCTTATTTTAAGGATTTGGTATTGCATTTTGAGTGCTTTTGGAATTGGGTTTTTGGCCCTTTTCTTCTTTATTTGTGTTGTTCTCAAGTTTCTGCAGTTGATATGGCGTCTTAAGATGTAGGAAGAACGCTTTCTCTGAATCCCACAACAGGAGTTGCAATAATGTTTTCCATCCATGCAATGTGTTTGTTGTTTCATCTGAGTGATGTGATACATGTGCTTGAAGTGGGCACTCGCTGTATATACCATTTACTCTCTTATCTCCTCTTCTATTATTTCTATTGTTTGTTGCTCTCTTTCCTCTTCTTACTTTTACTGTATAATGGGCTAACTTAAACTGGATAGATTGGTACACCCCATTGTCTCTCTTCGTCTAATTCTGTGGCTTATGTGATTTTCATTTGTTTTTTTTTTTTTGTTTTTTTTTTTTTTTCTGTCTTTTTGTTGGTTTTACCGTTTTAGACGTTATGTGGTCAATTCGGAGCTTGTGGCTGGCTTACTAATTGGTGGCTTATTTTTTAAAAAACATAATGCAGGAGACGCAGTTGTCTTGAGAAGCATTGGTGTTTAAGAATTTGTTAAACAAGGTTCAATTACATAGAGATCGTATGCCAGGGAACAAGTACGACAACAGTCCAACCTATTACTCTTCAGGTAGTCGAGTTGAAAGACTACTGAGAGATAGGGAGATAAGGAAAAGCAGCAGGGCTTCTCACTCAAATGAGACAACTGAAAACAATAAGGGTACAACTGAAAATAATAAGGGGACTCAGCCATTTGATCCTGATGTGTACTTGAATGAAGATGATTACTCAAGAATTTCCAGTGCTGAACACTTCCCTGAAGGGGCTGCAGTTCCAACGATAAATAATGAGGGGTGTGAAAAGCAAGATGTAAGGCCTATAAGACAACGACTATTGGTGGTTGCTAACAGGCTACCTGTCTCTGCTGTCAGGAGAGGTGAAGATTCATGGTCTTTGGAGATAAGTGCTGGGGGTCTAGTCAGTGCTCTTCTGGGTACGCATTTTTCAATTTGACATCTCCAATCATTTACCACTGGTTTTTCTTTTACCTCTGTTGACTTGATAATTTTTAGTATCACTTGTCTCAAAGAGTAGCTTTCCCATCTTCATATTCTTTTGCCTGTTTAATTTTTGATCTGCTATTGATCTCTACTGAATGACTTTTACCACAGGCGTGAAGGAGTTTGAGGCAAGATGGATTGGTTGGGCTGGTGTGAATGTGCCAGATGAAATTGGACAAAAAGCACTTACTAAAGCTCTAGCTGAAAAGGTAAGCTTTGACCTCATGCCATTGGAATTGTTCACGCTCATCTTGTTCCTTTGATTGATTATTCATGTAGTTTTATTTTGATAAATGTGTGATAGCTTTATCCTGCTTTTGCTTGTTCCCTTCCTCACAGAGGTGTATTCCAGTATTTCTTGATGAGGAGATTGTTCATCAATATTACAATGGCTATTGCAACAACATACTGTGGCCTCTTTTCCATTATCTTGGACTTCCACAAGAAGATAGACTTGCTACAACCAGAAGTTTCCAGTCGCAGTTTGCTGCATATAAGAAGGCAAATAAAATGTTTGCTGCTGTGGTTAACAAGCACTATGAGGAGGGTGATGTTGTTTGGTGCCATGATTACCATCTCATGTTTCTTCCAAAATGCTTGAAAGAACATAACAGCACAATGAAAGTTGGTTGGTTTCTACATACCCCATTTCCTTCGTCTGAAATTCATAGGACATTACCATCTCGATCGGAACTCTTGCACTCAGTTCTTGCTGCAGATTTAGTTGGGTAAGTTCAGTTTTGAGGCTCCCTTATTGAATAGTATGCCACAATCTTATGGTGTTTAAATACAGTCAAGAAACCAAAACATCTTCTTAAATTAGGATACTTTAATTTGACGTTAGCAGGACTGAATAGAACTGATAGTTCATACGGTATTGCTTAACATGCTTCTCATATTATTCCGTGCTTTCTATAAGTGCTGCCCAGGTAGAAAGTAGTTTGTTTTGCTAAATATGTTTATATGCCCGTTGCTTTTTGAATTACTAGTATTTGGCTTCACTTACAATCTTAAGATTTTAATCATGTAAATTTTTTTCCTTTTACAGTTTTCATACATATGATTATGCCCGCCATTTCGTTAGTGCTTGTACTCGCATTCTTGGACTGGAGGGTACGCCTGAAGGAGTTGAGGATCAAGGGAGGCTTACTCGAGTTGCTGCTGTATGATTCTTTTTTAGCTGTCACTCACTTTGCTTGATTTTTTCTTTTTTATTCTTTGAAAGAAATACTCTCTTGTGACGATGAAAACTCATTTCTTACGTAATAATGAAGGCATAATGTATCAAACTTGTTAAATGTACTACTCATCCTGGTTCATGTGCTCAAATTTCAGTTTCCCATTGGTATAGACTCAGATCGGTTCATACGGGCACTTGAACTTCCTCAAGTCCAGGAACACATCAAAGAACTGAAAGAAAGATTTGCTGGGCGCAAGGTAAATGCTTAGAAGAATATTTTGTATGCATTCTTTTATGATGTTACTGGCCATTACTAAAATATGTCATGCATACACCTCTAGATTATACTCTAGAATATAATTGTATTTTTGCTCAATCGAATGTAAATGTACGGCCCCGTTCATTTCACCGATTCGAGTTTTGCTATAGTAAAAAGCTTTCAGCAACAGTCACATCTAACTTTTTTACTACAGTAAAAAGCTCTCACATAAAGTCATATCTCAACTCGAATTAAAAACTCGAATCAGCGAACTAAATGGGCCCGTATTTTATTTGAAGCGTGTTATATATTGTTGCCTAGTTTCCTATATGCTGAATTTTGGTAATTGGTATTGTGACAGGCTTTGAGAGCCTGCTTATGTTAGTGTCCTGTGAGATTTTTGATGGCAATGTCGTTTACTTACATGTTTTTTATCACATTGTTGTTGTGAGCCCGCATGTTAAAGGCACCATGATTGGAAGTGACGTGCACTTCTATATAATATTGCTAGTTGTATGGTTTCAATCTATTAGTAGTTCTGCACTTGGTAGATTAATTGTTGATTCTTTTTTTCATATTTTGTTTTTATTTTTCTTACTGTTTTTTTGGTGAACTATGCGTATTGCTTTACCTTTTGTTCTGCAAGTAATTTCCTTGGCCGTATGTTTCAACATGACAGGTAATGTTAGGTGTTGATCGCCTTGATATGATTAAAGGAATTCCTCAAAAGATATTGGCATTTGAAAAATTCCTCGAGGAAAACCCAGCTTGGCGTGACAAAGTAGTCTTGCTGCAAATTGCTGTGCCAACTAGAACAGATGTCCCAGAATGTATGTCTGCCCTAAATTGCTCTCTCAAATGCTTCTTATTCTGTGTTAAATTTGCATATGGCTGCTCTTTATTTTTCCTCTTTATGCTTCTTTCTGCCTTTTTTTGTTTGTGTTCTATTAATGAAGGCTTCTTGCAGAAAGATTAGGTAAGCATACGAAATAAAAGTTTATCCGAACTAAGAATTGAATAATAACCCCGAAAAGAGGAGTAGCAAAGATCCAGTAACTGAAAAAAAAAAAAAAAAACACCAACGAAACAAGTTCAGTATGTCTTTTGAAAAATGCCAAGGGTCACAAAAGGGGGCCATGACCAATTCCAAGATATAACTTTACCCCAAAGGAATGGCTTGTTTTGGGATAAGGGCATAACGCGATGGCTGTTTATTTTATGCACCTTTGCCAGTTTATAGAGTCGCAACTTATGATGCATGAGATATCTGATGGATCTCTCCCGAAAATAGCTTTCCATTTTCAAACACATTTATAAAGATGGGGTGATGTATTTTTTTCTTTTAAGACTTAAAGCCATCTTCCCTTTTCAAGCATGTATAATTGGCATTTGATTTTGTTCTCATTCCCAAAAATTTGATTTATCATTTGTTCTTTCTGCATTTTGACAGATCAAAAACTCACTAGCCAGGTTCATGAAATTGTTGGACGAATTAATGGCAGATTCGGAACCTTGACCGCAGTTCCGATACATCATCTGGTTAGTTGTGATTATTTTATTTAATAACAAAGCCAGGTTCATGAAATTGTTGGACGAATTAAGTTTATGTACTATTATGCTTCACGATAATATCATATTGAATCATCTCATTTTACATTGATAGATCTTGTGGTGACTTACTGTTAGGATCCTAGACTCTACTGCTAAGATTTGCTAACAATTAGTAGACAGTGAATCGGCTAGTAGCCCTTTTTATTGAATTCGAATTACTACACCAACAACAAGGAGCTCCAACGTAGCTCTCGAAACAACAGGAATGGAAGAAAATACAGGAAAGAAATAAGATAGAGAGGGATTTTCGAGGAATCCCACAACCTCCCAGTTATCAGTCCAGCACCAGATTTTTCATGCCTCACCTCCTCCCTCGATGCTCCCATATAACCACCGATCCTCTAACCAATTTCGCGCGACTCCCCATATGGGCTCTCCTTGCTTGCCACGACCCCTTCCTTGTACTGAACTATCTCATTTGGGCCTGGGCCCATCCCCTTTCCTCTCTTGGCCCTCCTAACATAGACTTTCCGTACCGGAGGTCTAACACTTACACATCTCAACTCTTATACCAAAATGTTTTTGTACAAACTGATTTGGCAAGTGAATTGTCATCTTCTATTGGTCAATGTTGTAAAATCTGTTTATAGAAAGGTGAATTGTACCAATTGGATTCACTTTCTACATTAGTTGGTATACAAAAAGTTGGTACAGTAGTTTTGTACATGTGGCATTATTCTAACAATGTCATATTTCTTATTCCTTTTTTTCTTTCTTCACAGGACCGTTCTCTTGATTTTCATGCATTATGTGCTCTCTATGCTGTTACTGGTACTCTCATTTTCCAAGTTATTTTGGTTCTTTTGTTTTCTTTTCTCTAGACTTATTTTGATTCAAGCACCTCCATTTTATCTCTCAGATAATAACCTGATTCCTAGATCATAATACAGAATGCTGGAAAGCCTATTCTTAACGATGTTACATGAATGACTCTAATTACTTGCATACCCTCAGTTGGAAGTTTCTTTTAAGTTTATAAGATAATACACCATTGTTGGTCTCAAACTCTGTTCCTATACTCTTAAATACGAATATCAATGTGCATTCACTATTAACACAAACGTTGAATTGACAGTGGCCCACTTTTAATGGTTAACGATTTACTAAATGTTAGAATTTCTTCATTAACTTTGAACTGATGGTTTACATCTCTGCTTACCTCTTTTACCTTGTTTAGATGTTGCACTCGTCACATCTTTGAGGGATGGTATGAATCTTGTCAGTTACGAGTTTGTAGCATGCCAAGATGCAAAGAAAGGGGTCCTCATTCTTAGTGAGGTAATTCTGGAAATTTACATGTCTGCTTATAGTTGATTTATTATCATCATGCAAATTTTGCGTTACACTTACACGGTGGCTTTCTGAATTTTAAAATTAAAAGAAAATGACAAAGTCCTTGACCTATAAGATACTAATGCTTGTGATGGCTAAAGAACTAGGCAACAGGACAACAACAGTCTGATAGATTGATGGTTACAAAGCTAGAGCCAGGAATCATTGAGTCAGTGCGTCACTTAACAAAAAAAAAAAAAAAAAAGAAAAAAAGAAAGACAAGACAAGAACTGAAACTCTTACATGCTAGTTCCAGTACAAGCTGATATAATATCTCCGTGCTTGCATGTAACCTTTTTTCTCACTGCATTTCTTTTCATCAGTTGTTAGCACCACTCACGTTATTAAACAAATGGTTCCTTTTTCCTCGGTGGAATTAGTAAAAGCATGCTTGAGTGCACTTGATGAACAAGAAAAGCATTAGGCATGCCTTCTAGTTTTATTGTATTTTGCTGAATTTAGAAAAGCTTGTCTGCTTCCTTTTGGTGAAAGAACAAGGCAATGGAAAACGGGCTTTCTGTAACCATATAATCCATTGTCTATTTCCTTTTTCTCTTTAAGAATCAATGTTCTTAGGCCACATCTTCCTGTTGGTAAATAACATGTATTTATTATATTATGCATTTGAATGTAGCTCCATTCCAGTGGTTATCATTTTTTCCCCCTTACAATTATAGCATTCAATACTTTTGATGCATTTTTGTAGTTTGCTGGGGCTGCACAGTCTCTAGGTGCTGGAGCAATTCTAGTGAACCCGTGGAATATCACAGAAGTTGCTAATGCAATTGGCCAAGCTTTGGATATGAAACCCGATGAAAGAGAAAAACGACATAAACATAACTTTGATCATGTGACTACACACACTGCTCAAGAATGGGCAGAGACTTTTGTAAGGTATGCATGTATAATTTTTATTGCATGCCTTGTGTCACGAATCTGATAGAAAGATTTATTAATTTTATTGACGCCTGTTTCACACACACTTTCTTTGATGGGACAACCATAAAGACATGAAATGCAGCACTCTACAGCATGTACACACCATGTAGAAGTTGAACATCAAAATTATTAAAGAAATGTGTTATTTCATGTGACAGTTGCAATGAGCTGGCAAAATACATATGCCAGTGCATCTGTTATAAAATTGTTGAATCACTGCAGTAATTTTACTTAAATAGCATTCCT